TGAATTGAGAATATCTTGCAACTCTACAAAAGGCTTATTAGAATCATGAATATTATATCCAATATTATTTGATGTTGTTTGACTTCGTAAAGTAGCTGAATTGAATGGAATACGTGAAAACTGAAATTTATCGCATAGATTAGTTTTTTCTAAACAGCCTGACGTAAATTCATTTATCGCTGGAGGGAAAAACATCACCGAATCCCTTGGATTTAAAGGCAGAGCTGTCAAATTAATAAGTAGCTGTGCAGCCATTATGCGAACCCAGCAAGATTCAGATGAATCCATCAGAAAATGGAAAGCCACCTCCCAAATAGCACCTGGAGATGACCATTCAAGTGAATGGGCAGACAAAAGTGTGCGTGTTTCTGTAGAAATATTGCGCGTCAGCAAACGTTGTAACCAAATAGGAACTAAGCATATACGACTAAGAATCGATAAAGCTAGAGCCCGAACCTGTACATGGGAATAAAAAATGATCAAAGTATAAAATACCATTATTAATTAATCTCTATCAACAAGTGATGAAAAAAAAGATAATTTAACTGGAACAGTTTTGATTAAACGATGAAATGAGTAAAAATGTCTACTACTTTTAAAAAACAATATCCTTATCGATTGATTGCCAAAAGAAGTCGAATATCATATATTTTAACTGAGAAAATAATAAAACATTAGTTTCGAAAAGCAGAGATAACATAAGCGTCTTAAAAACTAACAATTAATTAGAGTTCAAATGAATTCTTAAAGATCTGCATAAAACTATGGTAACTGAATAAAGTTGTTGTCTGTTTACCGAGGTATAATAAAAGAAAAGATGCTAAAGTGTTAGTCAATTGTTTCAAAGATTACATTTAATATCGCATAATAACAATTTTTATTATTTACACTTAGCAAATCATTTACTACATACAAAGCTGGTTATTCAGATCACACTTACAAATTAATTAATGTAATCCGATTATACTATTTTGTCACCACGATGCAGATATATCCTAGTGTTGATCGTAAATTCCACTGTTAGCCATAATTCATCAATTTTAAGTCTTTAAGTGCTATTGTTACTAGACGTCGAATTCTTACTAATACTACATTTACACCATAATCTAGTATTAAACTATATTAAAGATATAAACCTTGAGTTTATAAGATGAAGAGAAAAAAAACCAAGAAAAACAACTCCTACATTTACCTCTATTTGGCGATAGGTTAAGCTTTTCAAAATCCACTCTTCATCAATCCAAGATAAATATTTATGAAAATTATTCATATTATCATTATTATTATTATTGCTATTATTTCTATTACTATCTAGTAGGACATCATTTAAATCTAATTGTTGAATAAATGGTTGAATAGATAGTGTATGAATTAAATTATTTATTACAGTTAGAAATAAAACAATATTAGATGACCCAATATATGAATAATTAGCTTGATGATTAGGCTGTTGAATAAATGCTGAAAGTAATATTGATACATGATTAATTAAACGTCCAATAATTTCACCGTCATTTAAAATGTGAACGATTTCTTGAAATTTACTATAATATAGAGAAAGAAATGTTAAAATTAAAATCATAATGATATAATATAAAATTCAGCATGGAAATCACTTTTCAACGAACTTGCTATTAGATTCTTTGGTTAAAATTAGTTCATTGGAAAAACATCCCTAAGTTAAATTTCATGTTCTTTTTATGTGTAAAAGTAATTATAAATCTATTAAAAATGTGACAGTTCATGCAAAATCAATGTAAGGTGGTGATTAAAAGTAGTCGACAAGATAACCTGGAGCTAAAT